AATATTTGGTCCTTTTAAAGAATATATAATGATTTTAAAAATTGAGTGTGAACGATACTATAAAAGATGTGAGTATTGTTTTATAAAAATGTATATAAAAAGAGACTAAGAACTATGAGCTATGGACTATTGCTATTCGACTCACTTTCATATTGAGCACTAGGATGTTAAGCTAAATATGTTTACTATTGCAGATCAAAGCTCTAAGCAAAATAGGATGCGCCATAAGGAATCTACACCTTCAGTGCAATATAACTGGCATGCAGTCATCTAAACTTTAAAGCTGAGTCCTTGAGTCCTCGTGCCACTGTTCAACTGCCCAGACAATCGCCTGATTTAAATCACAAACCATTTTTCAGTGCGAGCGACCCACTGACCTCTCATCGAATGCGTCAATTTGTCATTAGGTAATTAAATATGAAAATGATGTCAATGAGCTTCGCATATTTGAAATTCATTGCGAGAGTATGTTATGATAATGGGTAATTGCGAGTAACTATAATGAGCATTAATTAATTCCACTTGTCATTTAAAGAGGCCCTGCCCCGCGCACAGAGGCGCCCTCCACACACTGCCCCGCCTCTGTCGCCATTTGATTCATATTTAATTTCAATTTCTAGCCCAAAAAAACCGCAAAAGTGTAATGCAATTAGGCTGATAAATAAACCGAGCGAATCATACCAGCTCTGTCTGCGGCAATGCCCACTCCCTGGGGCATATTAATTATTTACCAAATTGATTTCCATTCACGCACTCAAAAATGGTGGGGCACAGCCCCAGTCAAGTGCCGCATGCTGGCAACTCTGGCAACACTGGCAGCTCCACTCAGAACACAGCACACAGCAGGCCTCTCCATCCAATTAACAGTTCATTAGCTTGATTTAGAGCTACCCCCCACCCCCTTGCGAATGCGATACGAGACAATGGAGACCCAACTAATAGTCGTCTGCTTAACCAATTGGCGGGGCATTGAATTTCCAATTGGAATTGCCATTGTGGCAGCAGGTGCAAAGAGAATTACATGTTTTAAATGCCTCCTACTCGCAAGTGGCAGTCAATCTGATGACATTTGAGGCTCCTCCTAGACAAGGGCAAAGGTCAAGTTTTTAGAAATCGATTTAAATCGATAACAGACGAAATTTAGATAGCCTTTAATGGCTTGCTCGCTGAAGAGAAGAGAAGTTTATCTATGCCCAAATGTTAGTCAGTCAGGTTCAAAGGAGGGTCTATCTCAAATGCATTCAAGTATTTCCCTATAACATGCAAAGATGCAATTTGTCTATAGCTATCGATAAATTATTCCACAAGCCTGAAATAATTTGTATTATAAAAATTGAAAATAAGACTTATGATTTGATTATTATATAAAATTTGATCTGTAATAATTATTTTTGATT